TTATTTTTGATTAATGTTCAATTTTTTATCAGTTTCATTTCTGTTCATTAAGTAATGCGTCTTTGTTATAATTCCATTTAATTTTCTGTTCTCCGAATTGAATTCTAAAATTGGGGTTTTGATGTTAAAGATTCTTGGCTTTGATAATCGTTTCTTTCGACCAAAAGAACATTACAAGTTAGAACTTCTTTTTCAATACCCATAAGACTTTTGTTGTGCTCATAGATGGTGATAGTGCTTCGCCATTAATGCTTGGAATACTGATGTTTTATCGATGACAGTAAATTACATAGTAATCGGATTAGACGGACCGCAATGCAAAATTATTATAAATGGACAGCTAGGAATCGTAATTAACTAATGTATTTTTTATATTATTTAAAAACTCTAAAGTCCTTTAATCCTAAAATAACTATCTATAGAAAATCTATAACACTGATGGCGCGCAGGAAGATTAGGCATCTTTAGATGTCTATAAATTTAAGAATAAAGTAACATGAATATAAAAGAGAAACAAACAAGACAAGATTTAATAGAAATTTACATGTCAAGCGCGTCATATACAGTTATCCCCATCGTTTCAGCAATTATGCCCTATCAGACATTTATTTTGAATTAAATTACTCAACGTCCATGCCCGTATACTAAACATAAATTCAAACAAATTAATGAAAACACGAGAGACTTATTAAACATTATAAAATTTACCGATCAATAATGCTAAATTCTCGCTTATTTTTTCATTCTATGCGATATTCCCATAAACCAATGGGCTGTTTGATTAATCTTCAAAATTTCCAAAATCTGGATAAAAATATTGTAGCAGAATAAATTTATCGTCGTCATTGTCATTACTGTATTACTGTTAAACTATTTCAGCAATTACGAAAATAACGACCATACCAAACAGCACATATCCAAGAGACAATATCTCCCCTCGTTATTGAATTGCTTAAGACTATCCTCAAAAAAATCGGTTTGCACAGATCAAATTCGCATTTTTTTGTCCATTATTATTATTATTATTATTATTATTATTATTATTATTATTATTATTATTTTTTCGTGTTATCGTCGTCATCATCGTCAAATACCAATACGAAAGTGTATTTTTTCCAATTCATATATCAGAGGGGTTATTAGAGTAGAGGTTTCCAAATCCAGTCGAGCTCCACTGGATCTATAGACACGAATATAAAATAAATCGATATTAAAATACTAGAGCAGAAGATTAACCAAAAAAATTTACTTGGCCCCTGCAAGATTGCAAGTGCTTTCTCAGCCGATTTTTTATTCATTGCTTTTAATCGCATTTGTTTTATTTTTTGTTTTCTTTGCAGTTTCCAATTCGAGCCAAGTTGACATGGTTCTATATAATCATATTATATTAATATAAATAAATACCAAAAATGGAGATAGAACAAAATAAATACATACCACTTGGCCCATGTTTCAATGCTGCTTTATTAAGTGAAGAATCACTTCCATTTCGACTATGATTTCCTGAATTGATCATAGAAACTTCATTTGGTCCTTTTGGCGGAGATGTAGTTCTTGGACTCGGGCAGCTACTGTTACCAATGTTAGCGCTCTTGCTCACTGCCTTAACCCAGTTGGAAATTCGCTTGGTTTTTGAGGCTTTTTTTATTGATTCCTCTTCCTCCTCCGACTATCATTGAAAAATATAAAAATAAACTAATAAAATAAATAAATAAATTCTTTATGCTTACTTCTTCAGAGTCTTCTTCTTCATTAACTTTAAAATCGCGTTTATACGTGTAATAATCGACCCTATCTTCAATCACAGGAATCTTACAGTACGCCGTGATTCGCTAAAGAGGAATGTTATTATATAGAATTTATATGAATTACTAAAACAAAAGCTATGTTTTATTTACCTTTTTCTTCCTAAGGTACTCTAGTTGCGTTTCCGTATACCTGTTATGAACATTTTTCACGCTATTTTCTTCGTTCTAGATTCAAAACAAACCTTTTTTTTAAAAAAAAACATAAAAAAATAATCATTAAAATATATTTATTTACATCTGTTTCTTTGTATGGCCAATCCAAGAAATACATTTCCCAATGAGTCAGAGTCTAATAAAGAATAAAAAAGAAGTTATTAATTTAAGTTCGGAATGAAATTTTGTTATGCTATTACCCATTCCCTCCTAATGTTCAGGAACAAGGGGACGAGTGGTTTTTCGCTTTGCTCCATATTCGCAACGAGTATTAATAGAAGGTAATAGTCGGTAGTCGTTTTTTCGGTATAACACACAAACCAGTTGATAAGGCTGAGATCATTTCACCTTCATATTTTGTGGCTTAACCGATGTCTTGTTTCATCCAGGACCCAAGCTAGTGTGAGAAATTTACTATATAGTAAGAATATGTGAAAAATTTCAAAAATACAAGTGGGTCTTGATATCATTATAATGACTCACTTGTAATATGGAATATAGAGTATGGATTGAATTATATTTTGAATATATAAATACTAATATCTCTTGGAAAAGACAAATAGATGATAACTTATAAAAAAAAATACTAGATAAAATCAGATAACTTATAAAAAAAATACTAGATAAAATCAGATATAATATATCAGTTTATAATAAGATTTCTTAATAAACATAAATTGTTGATCTTGAATTTCTGAAATATAAGGAATTTCAGCATCAGCCGTTTCGATTTATTAAAGATATGGAATTTAATAGAAAGACTTGAAATATTGATTCTAATAAATGCCAATGATGAGATTTACATTAAAAGTAATTTTCAGTTTTATAATTCAACAGAAGGATTGAGAAACGTGTTATTTGATTAGTCAAAATAATTTGGACGCAGCATTGTATTGAAATAACATTGCACGTTTGTCATTACACAAAAATATTACTTTGCCCTGTTTGGTAAAATTTTACCAGCGCATTCACCAAACCCTATAAAATGCCCATCACCTTGACAATACCCAGTCAACACCACTTCATCACCATCTTCGATAAACTTTCGTTTAACACCAGCCTCAAATTCAATCTCATTTTGTCCGTTCCATGTGATTTCTAAGAGGGAACCAAGCGAGTCATCGGTCTATTAATCACACGAAAAAAAAAAAACGTGTAAGCAAATCGTATTTAAATAAAAAACTTTGTTCTTTTTCACAACCAAAAGTATAAAATACCTGGCCACTGATTGTTCCGGTTCCACACAAGTCTCCCGGACGTGTGTTACATCCATTTATTGTGTGATGAGCCAATTGTTGAGTAATTGACCAGTACATGTATTTGAGATTTGAGCGGGTTATGGTCTTATAATCGTTACTTCCCGATGCTAATTTATGAAATATAATCACTAAGTTTTTAATCTAAAATTAATATTTGCTGTTACTGATTCCTTACGCTTTAATTTCACTTCTAAATTGATATTATAAGCAGATGGTCCTCGTTCTTGTAGATACTCTAATGGCGGAGGGACCTATTGATAGAACAATCAAGAAAAAAAACAAGTATATTATAATGAATGCTAGAGTGATTAGTTAATACATACTTGTTGTGGTCCTTGCACCAAAAAGGGTTCTAATGCTTCAAGGGTGACTACCCAAGGAGAAATACTAGTCCCAAAATTTTTACCAAGAAATGGTCCTTTTAAATTATTGAAATTCACATTTAGAAAAAGGCGAAAAACTATAATTTATCCTTCCCAATATATATTACCTAAAGGTACGTATTCCCAAGCTTTTTGAAATTACATATAAATCCAAACAAATAAATTAAACCAAAATATATCGAGATAATATTCATTTTATCATTACAAGCATTATTTACATTGGATATCTCGAGCTATATAAAAAAGAGAAAATAAATATTAACAAAATGCGGGTTTGTTAATAAGAAACATAATAATGTGGTCATTTACTTACCACTCCAATCGTTCAGTAAAACTATGCCAAAAATATGATTTTTAGCTTGCTCAATCGAAATTGGTTCACCGAGCTCATTACCAACTCCGACAAAAAATGCCTATATGTAATGTTTTAGACTTACATTAAATTAAATTGATTAATAAATTGAATTTTAATCGTGTACCATTTCTAATTCATAGTCCAATTTCAAAGAAGGGCCAAAGACCGGAGGCTGATCCTTAGCTGATAATCTCTGACCATTTGGTCTCTTAATATTTGCGCCTGATAAAACAATCGAGGATGCTCGACCATGATATCCAACTGGTAAATGAACCCTGTGATCAAAAGGGAAAAAATACAGAAAAGAAAAAAATAACCAAAAATAAAGAAAAGAAAAATTTTCAATTTACCAATTTGGCATCAATGCGTTATCTTTTCCACGAAACATACTCCCAACATTAGTGGCATGTTCTTTAGACGCATAGAAATCCGTATAATCACCAATTGTAGCAGGCAAATGTAATGTAGCGTCTTTTTGAGGAGTAAATGCTTTTAAGCGTAATTCGTGATTATCACGTAATTCGGGGGTATCTGCCGAAAGAATGTATTGGAGGAATTTTCGTGTTGCTTGCCATACTGGTTTTCCAAGTGACATGAACAGGTTCAAAGATGGCTGAGAATTCAAGTTTATCTTATTAGTTCAATTGATAAAAAGTGAGTTTGAACATATTAATTTTAATTACCTGTGAGAGGACAGACGCGGGATTCTTTAATTCTGGTACATGTTTCTCGAATAATGAGGTGATAGATGGTAGATCAAGAATTTGATCACCGATGGCAACTCCAATTCGTGGAAATTGCTTTTTTTAGGAAATGAAATTGTTGAATTATCGATTCTATCAATTCAAATTTTAAAAACCTTATGACTTTAACAGTTGAAATCATGAAATTTGGAAAAACTATTATGAATGTTCTGAAATTCAGCCAACGTCTCCAATTCCCTTTTTCTCATAAGAATAAAAATGAGTACATTATTAGCAGTAGAGAATACGCCGTATGGCAAGTTTTCCAGTGGAAAATGCGAGTCTGACGAGATTTCAATGAAAGACTTCATTATTATCGAGGTGATGATTCAAGTTCTTTATTATCGTGGGAAAATAATCAAATATTTATAGCCTAATATAGTCGCGCGAATAATTTCATGTGAATGATCATATGACAGAAAAAATATGCCGTTGATTCATTCTTCCAATGATCCTGCAGGGAAAATCAATATTTAATTTTCTAAATAATAAGTATTAATTGTCTAAATTATAATTATATAAACCCAAAAATACAATAAAAAATAAAACACACGTGTATTGCTAAATTAGTAAGTAATATTGTTGGTGGTAGTGGACACTATCAAAAAATATTCTAATAGTAATAATAATAATAATAATAATAATAATAAATAATAAACAAATAAATAATAAGTAGTAGTAATATTTATACTTGATTTATGATAATGATTTTGTTTGAGAAATATTACGGGGAAAAAAATCCTATTATGGAAAGTATTATATGATTGTCTGTCTATTCTCACTTTAATTGACAGGAAACAATTGATTGATTAAGCGAGGCTTTGTTGTGGTGATTGCTGTGGTTGTTCCTGTCTGGAACTTTGATCTTTTAATGCTAGCAGTTGTTTGGAGCGGAATGCTTCATAGTGAATTTGGGCTGTAGTCTCAATGAGATCTGATAGATGGGTCCTATTTGATTTGTTATTAAGGATAGTGTATCGTTAATAGAGAATAAAAGAATGAGAATTCATATTGATAATATTTATTATTTTTACCTTGTTAGGAAATTTCTGAGGTGAACAAACTCGCAGTGATTTTCATTCTCGACTAAATTCGATAAAAATAGCACGAATTTAATTAGTCAGGCAAGAGTATAGCAAATATACACGCGTAATATAGTCTATTTACCATTGATTACACCCCATCTGTTGCGTCGTCCGCGAACAGACTTGCCATCAATAATTACATTCTTTTCCGATCCCACAATGGCAAACGGGATCAATGACTAGAAAAAGATATATTTTTATATCACATTAACGAAAACTGTTTCTTAATTTGATTTTTTTAAGATAATTTAATTAAAATACCTTGATGCTTTCATTAAGAGCTCGCTCATTTTCATCAAGTTCATCGCTATCGTAAGGATATAACTTAATGTTATGATGAGCCAATTCCGACTTAATCTAGTAATATAAAAATATTATAAGTCAAACAATGATTAGAATTATTGGAACAAGAAAAATATACTCCGGAAAAAATCTGTCAACAGAAACACAAACCCTCTGTTTGAATGATTCCCTTTCTTGCAATGTTAACGAATCCGATTTGGCGATTACAGGAACTACGTTAACAACTTCGGAGAGTTTTTTCAAGACAACAATATCAATTGGCTTAAGACTGAGGAAGAATAGCATTTATTAATAATCTGAACATTAAGCGAAATAAACTTAAATTATTAATGAATGTAGAATATTATACTTACGCGTGCCCAGTGGGTGCAATGAAAAACAGACAGCAATGAATTCTTGTGTCTTGAATATAACGTTCACGCATCGCGGTGAGTTCTTTTCGAAGATAGGCTGAATGCTGATCTTTGATATACTTGATAATTGGTTCCCAACTATTTTCATAATACTCAATCAGCATGTGTGTATAAATAAGATTATATAAACTATTAATGACAAGAAACTGACCAATTTTCATTGTTGACTTGATCACCGTAGCCGGGTGTATCCACGATATTCAATCTCAAACGAATCCCATTTTCCTCAATCACTAATTGACAAGAAATTAATAGATTTTACGTTAGAATACTTTCTATAAAATTTCACCGCAAAAAAAGATGACATACAATGAGATACTGTTTGAATTTCCGTTGTTTGCCTAAATGGTTCTTCGACATTTACGCGACCTTTACTATCAATGAGGTGAGCAGCGAAAATGGTATTGATAAGAGTTGACTTTCCGAGACCAGTTTGACCTTTTTTTAAAAGATGCAAGATTAACTTAAGGTAAATGACAGAAATCAAATCTTTCGTTTAGTAGATAATTGACAGTCTTACCGACGACAATGATATTAAACTGAAAACCACGTTTCAACAGCTTCTTTTCGATTTGTTGTGTGATGGAATCAAAACCCACGTAGCCATTGAGATTAATCTATGTTTCAATAAAATAATCTACGCATTAATATTTCCGTTTTCAAAGCTACAAGTTTGCATCGTCAAAAGATGAAACCAATTTCTACTTGCTTTTTGAGGTTCGGCTACAGCTGCCATATCTAAAATGTCAATTTAATATTCTATATAGTCTATTTGTATTTTAATTGAGATGTTTCTTAGATTCCGAGAAAGTAGGAGAAAGAGCGTATTAGGGTAAGTGTTTATTCTCACTCAGTATATTAAAAAGAGAGTACAGTTTATTGATATGATAATATAATAAAGTGTCGTTGTTTTTGATGAAAGCAAATAAAAGCTGGAGAAAATAACCTATTAATTATCGTTATTATTATTATTAGATTTTTCAAACATATAATATAAACACGTGCCGATTTTCGAATTTCACAACAGATTTGTTAATTTCTTACAGCATTGAACGAGCGACGACAGAAATCGTATTGGTTCTACAACAAAAATTTTTATTTTTATTCCATTATTCTATGTTGTGTTTGTGTAAATCAAAGACTTTTGGCAACAGGTGTAATTTATCTGCATATCGATGTTGATTATGATTATATTGAATTCACATTTGAATTAATTTCTTTATAACAAGATTTATTTAGGTAGCTGCGATAAATAAATGATCGATTATTATTTATTCTGAAATAATAATATATGATAGATACATCGGAATGTAAAAAGATTTAAAGGGGAATCATATAAAGGGGAATCATATAAAGGGGAGTTATTTAAAGGGGAATCATTTAAATGTTATATTTCTTTATTCGTGTGTAATTTGAAGGGATGAATTAAAATAAACTAATTATTCAAAGAAAAATCACCAATCAAAAAAAAAAAAAAACAGTAATAACAATTACCATAAGAGTCTAAAAAAAATGTTCAAACTACTTAAAATCGGTAACGCCTACTCAAATGATGTCAACTTTAGAGTCAAGCTTCGATGCACCAACATCATTAATTAATTCTTCTTTCTTCTAGAACGCAATGGTGCAATCTTTCGTCCCGCTATAATTGGATCCAGTGCTGCTGCACTCACGTTAGCATTATTCGGCGTAGCATCTTGGAACATGTTCCCATTTCCAAAGGTTGCATTATTTCCGGGAAACGGATTGGTAGCAGGATTTAATTGCTGGTTGAATGGAAATGTCGGAGGAGCAACATTATTACTAGGAGCCCCATTAACAAATGGCATTACATTAAATCCAGATACATCTGTTGTTGCTTGTTGTGGTTGGAAAGCAATAAATCCAGTTCCATTTGTTGGTGGCTGTTGTTGGAAAGCATTAAATTCACTTCCATTTGTTGATGGCTGTTGTTGGAAAGCATTAAATTCACTTCCATTTGTTGATGGCTGTTGTTGGAAAGCATTAAATTCAGTTCCATTTGTTGATGGCTGTTGTTGAAAAGCGTTAAATTCAGTTCCATTTGTTGATGGCTGTGGTTGAAAAGCAATAAATTCAGTTCCACTTGTTGATGGCTGTGGTTGAAAAGCATTAAACTCAGTTCCATTCGTTGATGGCTGTGGTTGAAAAGCATTAAATTCAGTTACATTCGTTGATGGCTGTGGTTGGAAAGCAATAAATTCAGTGCCACTTGTTGATGGCTGTGGTTGGAAAGCAATAAATTCAGTTCCATTTGTTGGCTGTTGTTGGAAAGCATTAAATTCAGTTACATTCGTTGATGGCTGTTGTTGGAAAGCATTAAATTCAGTTACATTCGTTGATGGCTGTTGTTGGAAAGCATTAAATTCACTTCCATTTGTTGATGGCTGTTGTTGGAAAGCGTTAAATTCAGTTCCATTTGTTGATGGCTGTTGTTGGAAAGCATTAAATTCAGTTCCATTTGTTGATGGCTGTGGTTGGAAAGCATTAAATTCAGTTCCATTTGTTGGCTGTTGTTGGAAAGCATTAAATTCACTTCCATTTGTTGATGGCTGTGGTTGAAAAACATTAAATTCAGTTCCATTTGTTGATGGCTGTTGTAAAGGAAGAAACCCGGATCCATTTATTGATGGTAATGAAAATTGAAATGGATCAATTTGTTCGGTTTCATTAGTTACTATTGATGAATGTGTTCTTTTAATTTTGGATTGACTTCTCTGTGTAGTGGATCTTGATGTGAATTGTGGTGGAACTGATGACGATTGAAAAGACGAATTACCGAATTTAATGTTTGGATCAAGATTGAAATTTAAATCTGCATTCATTGAAAAAGGTATAGCGGCAGAATATGTTTCTATAGATGTAGTTTCTGATTGGATATTACTGTCAGTTATTGCAACTGATTGTGTTGGAGTATCCACTAACATTGGCACATCATCAGGCGTGCTTGTCGCGTTATTAATAATTGAAATTTCAGCAACATTTTGTTCACCGGCAGTCTCTCCACCAGCTGCACCAGTAGCAACATCAGCTGCGCCCGTAGTTGTAATTTCTGATGTCGTAGGTAGGAAAATATTTGGTGTTTCTGCTACTTTTTGTTCTTTATTAGTTGAAAAGAACTCAGCTGGTGGTGATATCGACATTGCTGAACCAGGTACAGCAGGTGAAGACGGTCTTATTGGCGTCATATATCCTGAATTAGCTATCGGAACTTCTGAAGGAGCTGTGACCGTCTCACCATTTTTATCTGTCTCTTCTGTAGTGGTCGTTATTATTGTCTCTTCATGTTGAACTGAGATACTTTCCGAACTTGAATTCATTTCCGTATTTTGCGGTGCAAAATTTGCCGTTGATGAAATCTTATTTGCCCATGATACATGTTTAGCTGTATTTGATGCCTTTACTGTTGCTGTTGATGTAGTCGGCGATTGCTTTGATTTCTTAATAGGTGGTTTTAGAGACGTAGAATCATCTGTGAATTCTTCTACTTTAGATGTTGATGCAGTATTAAAACTTTCTGTAATTATTGGCGAAGCTGACGATGCACCAATATTATTATTCTCAATATTTGCGACTATCGTTTTTTCCTTATCTTCTTCTTCATCCGAAGAAAAGTTTGCACTAATAATATTCGGTTGTCTCTTTCTTTTGGTAGTCGACGTTTTTGTTGATGTAGATGAAGCGATTGTTGTTTCGATAACAACTGATTTTGTGCTCGTCTTTACACTTCTTGGCCTCATTTCATTCTCCTCCTGCTTATCTAATGATGATGCTGAGTGGTCTAATTTCTTGATTTTTGTAGCTCTCTTGGAATTACCTTCGTTTTCGATTTTATCACGAGATCTCTTTTCTTGAGTAACTTCATCTTTCTTACTATGTACAGCAATTGGTTGTTGTCTATCAATGGGTTGAAGCGTTTCCGTTGTTTCACCAACAATACCAGCACCGATACCGTTATTTTTATTGATAGAAATATCCGTAACACGTGATGAAGAAACTGATATTGGAGACGTCATTTGATCTCTGTATGTTGGCAATAATGATTCCAAAGGTGTTCCAGATGGAATAATTATATCGGAAGGTGGTGTAGGCGTAGCAGTACGAATAGTAGTAGGTGACGTAGTAGATGCTGTGGATAATTCCAACGATGTAGTTAACGTAGATGAAGATGCTTCTTGCGATCCAGATGAAGCCTCATTAGAAACTCTCGAACTAGGAGGCGAAGGTTGAGGAGATTTTCGCGACGGTAATTTCCTTCTTGTGGAATATCGAGTCTTGGCAAGTGGATCATCTTTAGGAGGTGCGAGAACTCTATACATTTCCCTATAAGTAGATTCTGCCCTTACATATTTAAAATCAGGAGGATAATATAACTTTTTAAATTTCGGCTTTGGTTTCGTGTCATCTTCAACTTTCCTTTTCTTAAGTCGTAATTTCCTCGTACTTGGATTTGCTATTGTCCTATTTGATCCATTAACCACTACTTCAGAGTATTTTTCTTGCATTGATGTTGATGATGACGGTTCAGCAGGCTCGATTTCTTTTTCTTTACCCTTTTCTTTCTTTTTCCCGATCTCCATCTCTGTATTAGTAGTTGATACTTGTACTGAATTGCTAGTCTCTCCCATAAAATCTGTCTGTGTTGAGACTGATACGGCGTTTGCTTGAGTTTGAACTGATTGCTCATATTGTCGATTAAAAAGAGGCTGCTGTTGCTGTCTTGGAAAACCAAACACGCGATATAACCTAACCATTTGCATCATTAGCCATCCCCCAATACTTCCAAGGTTTCGTATTAGATGATGATGATTATTGTTGTTATTGTTATTATTATTATTATTATTATTATTATTATTATTATTATTAGTAGTTTGATAAGGGGTTGCATCGACACGCTGACGAGCATATCTCATGGGTCCTGTTTCATCGCCACCAGGGTTGTTGCTAATTCCCGGAGTTCTTGGTGGCTCATACCTTTGACTAACACCATCAAACATTGCTTGTTGAAAACAAGCATTATTAGATGGCAATGAATTATTATTTTCAGGTTGAATTAAGAGCCTCTGGCTGCTGGTTCCCGGAACGGTGGTAATGTCGTTGGAAACGGATTCTTGAGGCACAGACATTTTTCGAATCTTTTTTCTGCTCAATATTTATTGTTGCCGCTGCTATATTGTTCTTATTGCGCGAAATTTAATCGTTTTATTTCAGTAGAAAATTTTTTAAATCCAAAACCTTTATTTTCAGATGCGATTCGTGTATATACATATACCTTTCACTACGGCACATTCGAATCAAAGATGCGCGTAAATTCTCTCGTTTGTAGCAAAAGTTAGGACTCCTAGTTTTTATTGTTTTTGCAAGAATTTTGTACACACACACGCACATCAACTTTATCATCATCATCATCATCATCATCGCTGTATATATAACTCGGATGTACAAGAAGACACTTATTTTATTGGTTGGAATTAATTATATGATTTTTGATTACATAATTATGAAATTAAGCCAAATTCCGCCAAAATTATATTATTAGAAACCTAAAAGTACACGACATATTGAAAACCCACCACAAAATTCCCATTTCTACTCTACATACTCTTTTCACCATCTCTCAACACCTGTTCGATAGTGAACCGAGATGGCTGTTGTGATAACTTCAGCTGTAAAATGTCTCCAATCTCATCACACGCTTTCAAGAAATAATCGAGATCTTGTTTTGTGTGTGCGGCAGAAACACAGAAACGTGCACGCGATGAAATTACAGGGGTAGCTGGGTATCCAACTACTACTACGGCAATGTTTCGTTTTAGGCATTCACGCGAAAACGCACTGAAAATATTGAAAAAAGTTTTAATTAATAAATCTCTAATAATTAATCAAAGAGCGAAATAATCTTCGTAAATAAAAAAACACATACGGAATTTTCGCTGGATTAAATAACAGTAATGGAATAACCGGTGAATTATTATCACCGTAGGTAATGAATCCCAACCGCTCTAAATTCAAGTTCAGATAACGAGCATTAAAAGCCAATTGACCTAACCGTTCTTGACCTTCGTTTGTCCCGTCCTCACCCATAATGATCTTCATTGACGAGTAAATTTGTTGCGCCACTAATGGTGTAATGGATTCCGCGTAAATAGGTGCATGACATTGAAGACGCAAGTGATCAATTATATCTTGATTTGCTGCTATGTATCCACCGGCAGCACCAAAAGATTTCGTGAATGTTCCCATTAGAATATCGATGTCGTTCGGGTCGACACCAAAATAATCACATACACCTCGTCCACGTGATCCTAAAGCACCAATACTGTGAGCTTCATCGAGATACAAGTAAAACTTGTAATAAATTAAAAATGATAAACAACGAAAATTAAAAAAAACCCCATAATAAATTATTGATGATGCTAATATCGAGAAATATTACTTTATATTTTCTCTTTAGTTCAACTATTTTCGGGAGGTTACAAATTGTCCCTTCCATCGAATAAAGTCCCTCTACCACCACCAAAATCTTTTTCCACGGACGATGTGTACGCGGTTGTCCTTGACTAATGCATTCTTTTAATAGAGCTTCCAAAGCTTCCATGTCATTGTGTTTGAATACGCGTATAAATGCACCACTAAGACGGCTGCCAAACACTAAACTACTATGATTATGTTCATCGGAAATAATTAGGCTTCCTTTGGAAACTAGTGCTGGTAATGTTGTACTATTTGTAGCGTATCCCATCGATACTATTATCGCTGATGGTTTTCCTATGAATCTCGCTACAAGCGATTCAGCTTTCTGATGAATATCTAAAGTGCCTATATAACAAACAAGTATTTAATAAACAGGTAACGCTCAATAAATCAAGTCATTCAATAACAATAAAACATACCAACTTCAGCTCTAGGACTACAAGGAGCAATTCCATATTTTCTAATCGTGTTTTCGACCGCGTCAGCGCATGCACCCTCAGATTGTGCAAATCCCAAATAATTATAACTACTCAAATTTAAGCATTCCTTTATTTGACCAGTAAGTTGAAATGTCTTGCAATAATCCTTTGTTTCCCTATCAAGTAATTTGATTTGTCTTCCAGGTACTCCGGTTACTGGACGACTGAAACAATCGTTAATCCTTAATTTAAGACGACGAACATAAAAATTGTCAAAATCAGAATTTAGTGGCGCGTAACCCTAAATTAAGAGTTAATAACGTGATGTTGGTTAAAAAGTCTTGAAATGCGTGATTTGTATAATCTTTACACGCATGCTGTTATAAAACTCACATTTTGTTCTCTCAAGTGTTTATAGTTTGCCTTTTTAAATCTCATTCCAAAAAAATCTCGCAAATGTCCAAAACATATTAGCACCAAATACGACAAATAAGTCGTAAATAAAAAATAATATGGTGGTTCCTTTTCTATCCGACTTTCATATTGCTTTGGTTTCCTTGACAAAGGCTCATGATTTGAAAAGTTATTGGTAGATTTTAGCTTGGTTTCAGCCCCCAAATTTTCAGCAAAGCTTTCTGGCGTAAGATAGTATTGCTGTGGTGACTCTTTAGCCAAATCGCCCTTTCCCATCTTTAGTATTCTTATCTCTGAACTCCCTTAAGCTGAAAGTTGTCTAGTGGCATATAAAGTTTTTTACTGGCATCTAGATAAATTGTTGATCACACTCGCACAAATAAAATATTTTTGTGTTTCGCTATAGTAATCCAAGTATTCATGAATCGTGCAAGTTCTTTGGCTTCACAACTTGTAATTCTGCATATTTTTCATAAAAATTGTAAGTTTTTGTTTGCTTACTGCTTCATATCATTCTTTAAAATATTTAGGCCGTTGTAATTCATCGTCGGAAATTCGGTGGCCGGTTTTCTATATTGAATAGGCCAGATAAATACAATGCCTTAAATTTGGAAATGGTTAGGAGTATTACACCACAGCTACAGGTATGGTGAGGTTAGCTGATGGTATGGCTTTTACTTATTTGTTGGTCTCTTTTGTTGCCTCTTTTTTCGCTATATTACATTACTATGTAGCTTTATTTCTCAAATAGTACTTATTGTATTAATACTGAGCTTATAAGAAATTGATCTTTTGATTTTGTAAAAAAAGACTGGCTTTCGCGTATATAGACTTGATGTTGGATCAATACTGTTTTTATTTGAACATTGCATTATGCAAATTTATTTTTTAAGATACGTATTTTGATGAAATCTTCGATTTTTCAGTTTCTTTAATAAGCTCATTTTCAAGGTCTTTTGTCTATATGTCAGAAATGAAGGATCATTATATAATAAAATAAAAATTATTCATATTAACAAAAAGAAACAATATATTTTATCATTACACAATCAAACAAATAATAATAACAATATTACTGTTATTATTCAAAATTTAGGCGTGGAATGAGTCAAATCTATGTAAAGTTATTATACTTAAAGCGACCGGGGCTAAGGCCTTTTGCGCAGGAGGTGACGTGAGAGGTAAGTTGCGTCATATATACATTTATCTTTAAAATTAGATTTTATTAATACATATTTATATTAAATAGAGGTAATTAAACTTGCACAAAAAGAAAAACAAGATGGAGAAAATAATATTAATAATAATATAAGAGCCGCGACATTTTTTGAAGAAGAATACCAATTAAATCATCTTTTGGCAACTCTAGATAAACCATTTGTTGCATTGATGAATGGGATAACAAGTAGGCGTATTACTGCATCTATTTAATTTCGAGAAATAACATTTATTTGATGAATCAATATTCAAAATCATTTTAATAAAAAGTGGGTGGGGGCGTTGGACTTTCTGTTCACGTGCCATTTCGCATAGCAACCGAAAACACCATATTTGCTATGCCTGAAACACAAATCGGATTTTTTCCTGATGTTGGTGGATCATTCTTCCTGCCAAGGATGGATGGTGCGACAGGAACTTATTTAGCGCTGACAGGAACGCGATTAAAAGGGATCGATGTTTTGTATGTAATGTCGAAAATTAATCAATTTTATTTGAGTATGAACGTTATTTCCTATTTAATGATCGTGATACGGGATTAATAGTCAATCTGGAGTTGCTACACATTATATACCCTCTGAGCGTCTTCCTCACTTGGAAGAACGACTATGTGAATTAGAAAGTGATGATCACGAAGTAATAAACGCGGCTATTGAAGATTTTGTCGCAGAACCTGATAAAGAAATGCGGTATTCGCTTTTTGGCGATATTCGAAGTGCTATTGACCGGTGAGAACTATAGTGCATAAAACAAAGAAGTTTATCTTAGTATATACTAAGTAAGTTATTTATTAGAATATTCAGTCTTAATACTGTCGAGGAAATAATTGCCGCACTGGAAAAAGAGAATACTCCCTGGGCACAAGAAACCAGAGATACTATTTTGAAAATGTCGCCTACTAGTTTAAAGGTTACATTACATTTAATGCGTGTCGGAAAGAAACTCAGTATCGCTGATTGTTTTAGCATGGAGTACCGATTAGCTCAAAAATTTTTGGTAATTACAAAAATATTTTTTTAAGTTTTCTTAAAGAAATTCAATATACATATATCATACAGGAAAAATCGGACTTTGCAGAAGGAGTAACTGCGCGCCTTATAGAAAAACGAGACAACCCAAGCTGGAGTCCACCAACGCTAGAACAAATATCCAATGCCGAAATCGAAAACTTTTATTTCAAATCACCCGCACACTCGGATATTCTAAACCTACTAAACCCGCGCACATTTCTCCAATACCCACACGCGAAATTCGGTCTGCCAACCGAATCAGATATTAAAAAAGTCGTCACTGGGCAGAATCGCGATGTTGGTCCATTGGCAATGACCAAAAAAGAGATTGTGGATTTCTTTTTGAAGGATCGAAAGGGAAAGATTGGGACTCGTGAAAAGGTGATTGAAGTGTTAGACCGAAAGACGAGGAGCGCTAATGATGGGAGTGAGTATGTTCGGTGGGTTAATCATGACGATGTTTTTGATAATGATACAGAACAAAGGTAATAATTGAATCAATCTTCACTGTAAACACAAGAGCCTAAGTCATCTATTCGCTTTAATATAATTTATTAACTTTATTATTTTTTTGTCATTATTAATAGAAATAAAATCTGATAAATCATTGATATAATTAATCATTAATAAGAATGAAAATACAAAATTGAATTCAAATGTTAACGTTTATCTAAAAAAAAAAAAGTCGCTAAAATTCAAACGTACAATGAATATTTTCGACTAAATGTTAGAATGCACGGAATGCAGTGTTTCGGAAAAAAGGGGGGGCGAAACATTGCATATCAACAACTACATACACCCCTACAGTATATTACCGGAAATTTATGTCGATCATTTAATTAACTCGTATTATTAAAAAACAAACAATTTAATAAAAAGAAACTGTTGAATATATATTGGTTCAAATTTGAGAACCTACAAATTAATAGGATGTACTTTTTCCATTGGCATTAATAATCTTATTTACATGTCTAGGTAAACTTAAAATTAATTTGCACAAAGTTTCTAGATCAATACTCACCCATTCCTCTTGTAACATACTAATTAATTCTTGCTTTGATATAGATAAAGGTCTCCTTTTTCAAAGTTGGTGATCCAAAATATCTCACAGATGTTTGATCAGATTGAGATCAGGACTTTGATCAACCCAATCTAAAAGCCAGATATCATGTGTTGACATTCATCAAGTTGTATAGGATGAGATATGATATAATACATCAGCTTGTCGAAATGTAGAGTTTGGATATTGAGTACAAAGTAATTAGCAAGAATATTAACATATACATCCAAATTTATGATTTCTTTTACTAAAGAATCAACTCCATTCCAATTAAAACAATTCCAAAATATTACAATCTTTATCAAACTTAATAATAAGTTTAATAAGTCTTGATAATATATTGTCATCATATTTTTATCTAGTTATCTAACTCAAAAAGTACAAATCTGAATTTATTAAATTTGATAATATTTTTCTATTGTATTTTTCAATTACATTTCTCCTAATACTAATTTAATTAACAAAGTTCTTGAATTGAAGTTAAAAGAAATTTTTTTCTTGAAATATAATATTTAAATTCTATTTTATTTAAGTATTTGCAAATAATATTAAAATAATAGATAGTGTTGAGTTTGTTATTTAGTTCATTTGTGATTTTTTGTTAAGTGAAAAAAGAACTGATTTTTTAAAATAATTCATTTTAATATACACTTTTCATGATTGATCAGAGTTTTTGGTTGATTAAAATACTTTTTAAAATATGGTGAGTTGGTTTTTTTATAATGTTTAATGATATTATAGATTATTGCTTGAGAAATTTATTGCTTACAAATATATTAGATATATATAATAACATTCTCAAATACCAGTTCAAAAAATCAGATAAAACATCAATAAAAGAAATAAAAGAAGAAATAAAAATAATAATAAAAGAAATAAAAGAAATATTTGAGGTACAAAAAAATAATAGAAAATCAAGATATTGTTATCAGAAATATAAACAAAATCAAAATAAATTTGGTAATCATCAAATTAGAATGGCAGATCTTTTAAATATATTTTTTCATGTACTAATTTTTTTATTTATTTGTTTAATTATAATTATATTAATAAAATATTAATAAAATAAAATATTGTTTGAAATATCTATTGATTTGATATCAAGAATTAAATTTTGAAAGCTTTCTAATATTGTACATATACTTGTAAAAGATGAATTAGCAAGATAATTAATATTATTATTATTTTATCTTACATTATCTTTTCAATATATATTTAATCTTAAAAATGCAATAATATCTTTTCTACTATTTTATTTTTCTTTTCTATATTTTATTATTATCCAATAGCAATAATTAATATTTTTATCCAATTATTTTTTATTTTTATCACATTATAGTAATTTTATATTAATTTATATTTTATATCTTATTAATACTTTATTTTAAGCTCTTGTTACATTAATTTAATTAGTGACATATAGATTTTACACAAATTTCTTTTTAATATTACACAATAATTATTATGTTCCAACATGTTGTAAATCTATACTTTTATTGATTTCACTTTGTAATTTATATATAAATAACATATAGATCAGCATAATTCAAATTTACTATATATGTAATATGAGAATTAACTTAAAATAAACTAAGAAAATTATATTCTGATTTTAACTTTGTTTTTTTTGTTTCTTTTATTCACTTTATTTTTGTTTGTTTGTTTTATATTCTTGTTTTCTTATTATTTTTCTATTGTTTTTTTCTTTGTTTATCTTTAATTTTTGTTTTAAGTTCACTTTTTTATTATTATTATATTATTTATCTCTTGTCACTTGTCATTACACTTTTACTCTAATTTATATCATATATTTAGTTTTAGCATTAATTTATTATCACTTAATATATTCAATATTTACTTTAAATCTATATATTCTTGTTAATTTATTGTTATTAACCATCTACTATTATCAATTATATTATTCTTATTTAAAATTTGTCATGAATACAGTTATTATTAGTCATTTCTAAATATTCTCATACATAAGAACTAGAAATAGTAGTAGATTTTTGGTGTTCTCTCTGTGGATAACTTTTTGAAAAGAAATCTATATCATCATTATCAAACTGAATAAACAGATTATTCAAGTCAAAGTCATTCATCAATATAATCTTCTTAAAAACACATTAGTATCAAAAAAAGTACCTTCAAAAAAAGAAGATAAATTATATTAACTTGTCAAAACTTTATATATTGAAACTGTAAATAATCAAAATAATAAATCTATCAAAGAACAACTCTATAACTAGTTACTTATATATACAAAATTATCAAAAAATTAAATATTCTACTATTTAAAAAACTTATTAACTGATGTTGCTGCATTCGTACAAAAAAGACGTGAATATTCACAACAAATAATATCATACAAGCAAAAATTAAAAACAAATTCATCTGCATCATCATCATCATCATTATCATTTAAAATAATAACTCATCCACTAACACCACATCAATTAACAGTTCAACAACCTTCTACACTGAAAGTAAAAACTATTTTTCTGATTGGCTAACAAGAGCCAAATAAAACACTATTACCAATTAAGAAGAATAACTTTTAACATCAACAAAATCTATTTTTTCATCCACTCTAGCATATTCATTATTTAATTCAAATTTTGATAATAACAACAAAAATAAGGTAATACTTGTTCAAAATAATTCATTATCAGAAGATGAATTAAAAAATTCAGCAAACACTATGAATCAATAATAACTTTAATAGCAATAACAACTTCAACAACAACAGCAATAGCAATAGCAATAATAACAATAGCAATAATAACAATAACAATAGCAACAACAACAATAGTAGCAATCATTATTACAACAACCAGATTCATAACATCAGAAAATTTTTGAGAACACAGTTTTGCACAGATCTTTGGGTCCAAAAATCTGCACAAAACTTCGAACCTGGCAACAATTGGTAAAGAAAAAAATTTAAAAATCTGTGCAGATCTGCAACAAAATGTAGATCTGCGCAGATTTTTTAAAATTTTTTTTAAAATTCTGCGCAAAACTTCGCAATGTCAGTTTCAAGTAGCAGTAGCAATTTCAAGCAGCAGTAGTAGTAGCAATTTCAAGTAATAGTAGAATTCATAGATTAAATAATAGTAAAGAATATTTATTTTATTGTAAAGTATATA